GTTAGTTTTTTATTGTTCCCATGACATCATCACAGTAGCTTACGACCCCTTTTGAACTTTTCCTGTAGGTTGAAATAGTGTTGGATGAGTAGTTTCGAAAATGTCTTCCGGCTTTCCAGGCTCTGAAGACGGCGACGACGCCGAAACGTCAGCCGAATAAAGACTTCTTAACAATCTTGGTGGCGAGCTAAAGCAATCTCCTGACAGTACTAGTTACAGTCTTGTCCGCTGGGATGTTGGGACATGTCAGGGGAGGGGGGAGGGGGCCTACGGGGCAGCAACCCGTGCTCCACCAATCATCGAAGCAAGCAATAGTAACTGGTGGAAGGCGCTCTCGCGCCGCTCCAGATCCATCCCCCTGACACGCCCCAGCATCGGCGGCAAAGAAAACTACAGCTCCTCCTAATTCAAATTTTATGTGTTCGGGGGTTCATATTTACAACGCGTTTTCTCTTATGTTTCAGTACGCATTCGCTGTCAACGCCGCCCTCTTGTTCTTTTTCGGATTCATTGTCTACTGCAACCTTAAATCAGCTCCAAGGGAAGTTGGTAAGTATATCCTATGAGAATATTTCGAGACCAACTAAGCTTAGATTTTTAGTAACCCTTTAAGGTTTGCCGGATCCTATTGATTCACCGGATGAGTATATGCGAGTTATTGAAGAGCCTACTCAGCGTCCTGCTCCAATCAGTTTCTGGAGAGCCTGGTTACTTCCTGGTGTTCTAGCGGTAGGTTATAGTGTAAGAGTGCGTTCATACTTTGCGGCAGCGTTTTGGGCATCCGTCAGAGTTTTTAGCGTCCGCCAGCGTCTAGCGGTAGTTGATGTCTACCCATTATTAGTCGTCTGAGTCGCTCAAAACATTCAAAAGGCTGGTGGACGCTCAAAACGCTGACGCTAATTATGAACGCGCTTAGAAGAATTCATGATTGATCGGCCCAACTAGGTCGAAGCTGTTTTTTTCACTTACTACAAGTTAAAGCGTTGGTTTTATTGGCTCAGGTTTGAACTAACATAGGTCACAATTCTCTACTAAACCAGCAAACCCTTCATCCGTTTCCTATTTGCAGGGCACGACTCTACCCAGTAATAGGTAATTGGGTTCGACTACAACTTATGAAATAGTTTCAGTACTCATTGGCTTACGCCTGTCTCAAACTGGTCAATTATGGATTTTTCTTCTGGTTACCATTTTACCTTCACAACAACTTCGGATGGAGCGAAGCTGACGCTGACGCTCTGTCGGCTTGGTATGATGTTGGAGGAATCATAGCTGCGATCCTGGCGGGAACAGCCTCGGTTCGTTCAATACAACTGTAGTTTTCATGCGGGTTTCATGGTTTTTAGATATTGAATTTGCAGGATCATTTCTCATCGAGAACTCCAATCATCGTCGTGATGTTAATTTGCTCCACATTTGCATTATGGGCTTACTCAGGTTACCTTTTGCCCTCCCAAAGCTTCTCTAAGCTCTCGTTTTTGTTTTTCTTTATGGTTTCCGCTTTATAGCATCTCCACCATCACCATTTGTTAACGCCCTATTGTTAACCATAACTGGCTTCTTCATTGGTGGCCCAGCCAACATGATATCCAGCTCAGTTGCTGCTGATTTAGGTAAGGAAGCTTTCTAGTTTCGAGTACTGGTTCTTCTGTAGTTTCACTTTCCAGGAAGAACACGTGAACTCCGAGGTAATGCAGAAGCTCTCTCAACTGTTACCGGAATCGTTGATGGTGAGTCCTGCAGCCAAATTCTGTGAATTTTCATGCTCATGAACTGTAGTGAATAGCGGAAGACGGACAAGACAATCGCGTTGCCATGGGCGGCGTATCATGCGGCTGTACAACTTCTCGATTCGCATTAGTTTTTTTTTCTATTGGTGCAGCGAAATTCATTTGAATTCAAGCAAAGACTGGTCTCTATGGAGGGCATTTCCTTAATTTTTCCATCCCTTTGGTGATCATATTCAAGCGGTCAGGAGAATCAACTCGCCGATCGGCGCGGCGTCGTTCGTCACGCCCACCAGTGCGGGTATTGAGATTGTCCTGTCACAAACGTGGACAGCAAACACTGAAAATTCAACATTCTTGCCGCGTTTCACGTGGCATGAATTTGAATTTTTAGTGTTTGCTGTCAAAGTGCACCCAAGGATTCACTGGAGTTGCTGCTGAATTTATTATTATTAATTAATGAATTAATTTATGCTGAATTACAGTAACCTATATAAAACACTAATGCTACGATTGTTCAGGCACAGGCAGTTTTGGAGCTGCACTGGGGCAACTACTGATTCCTTCGATTCAAGCAGTGTTTGGGTGGAATTCTGTATTTTATGGATTCATACTTATGGTGAGCAAATCGTTATGAATTTCCATAAATAAACTGACAAGCTTTTAGCGTAGCGGGTTTCATCAATAATCCATGTGCATTATGAATCGTAGTTCTGAAAGCAGGCGTTCTTTCAAAATAATGTATTCTTACGTCTAGAAGAACGAGCTTTGTAAAGGTTTCCTGTTCCTAAAACCTACGAGACTTGTCATTTTTTCAATGGAGCTTTCAGGAAAATGCTCTCCTTTGAGACAACTCCTCCATGCATAATCAGATGAAAAAGCTGGGTTTTGAAGGGAATTTCAACCCATGAGGCATTTCAGAGATATGCTCCTTCAAGATGATTATTTTCAGATAGAATCGTGGTCGGGAAGGGGGAGGAGCGTGTTGACCACTATATCGTAACCAGTCAGGTTTTACATCCCGTGAACAACATTCGAGGGTACATTCCGTTTCGAGAGTCGTGCAATGGAGGTCTAAATATGGGTTTCAAATGTTAGCTGACTTACCAGCGAAAAGGGAACAAGGGGAAGTGTCGGAAACGCCCTTAATAAGGTCATCTTTTCTTTTTGAAATCGAACGAGCGCGTGAATAGGTACCGAATGCGCTGGTGCGAGGCCAGACAATGAGTTGAGGAAAGCACATTGAAGGCGAGTTAGGCAACAGTCAAACCATGGGCGACCACTCACATAAGTGGGCGAAGATCTGCAGGTTTACGCCATAAGCTTCTAGTGGCCTTGTCCATATATTCCAACCTGGGAAATGGTGTACCCTATGCGACTGCGAATCTGCGCCACCTTTATTCGGGAGGGAGCCTACTAGTCAGGTAATCAGGGCTAATGCCGTTTGGACTCCAGCAACTTCGGCACCGAGCTCATTTTTAAATTGCCTAAGTTACCAAATCCGCTAAAAACTTGTATGTAGGGGTAGTTTAACATCCTGATTACGAATATGACATTCACTCCTT